AAGTAGTGGTGAGCGCATTATATGCGTCAGATTTTATTATGGAAGATAACAAACAATAGATTATTGAGAGAAGGCAAACTGTGACCTGAATTTATCAGATAAAGTAGATTCTCCCAGCTTTTCAGGATGATAACACAAAAGAACATAGAAAAATTAATATAGTGAACGCCCACACTATTTAAGTTAGCTTTTTGCTTGATTTATGTTTTTTTTTTTTTTTTTTTGGAAAGTCAGATATATAGAGAGAGGAGGAGAGACCAGAGAGGAAGATCTTCTGTCCACAGATTCACTCCCCAAGTGGCCGCAACGGCCGGAGCTGAGCTGATCCAAAGCCAGGAGCCTGGGAGCTCTTCTGGGTCTCCCACATGGGTGCCGTATCACCAGACTTTGAGCTATCTTCTACCACTTTCCCAGGCCACAAGCAGAGAGCTGGATGGGAAGCAGGGACTCCGGGGTTTGAACCACCCGTATGGGATCCTAGCACATACAAGGCAAGGGCTTTAGCTGCTAGGTTACCATGCCAGGCCTGATTTATGTTTTTTGATGAATGTGGAAGGTTGCATATGTCAGTGCTATCCTTTCCCCAGATCTTCTGCATGTTTCTCCTCAGAATCGAGACTTTGTGTATAGCATAGCCACAATACTATTTTTCATACCCAACTAGACAGTAATTCTAGTCTCTACCATTGGGTCTATATTCAAATTTCCTGAATTATAACAACATAGATTTTGTTTGTTTCTGTCATGTCTATTTTAACCCCTGAGAAAGTTCTTGAGTCCAAGGAAACAGTGGGACGTAGAGGGTTCTGGAGGGATGGTTTAGGGTGCGGGCTTCATCTTGTGTGTGATCTTTCAGCTAGTGCTGCCATTGGTTGTACTTGCGTGCTTTCCTGAGCTATTGTTCTGTGTTAAGATGAAGAAAGCAAGGGAAAGTAATTTCCACTCTGATTTTATGTTTGCCTTTGCCGTTCCTCCTTAGTGCTTGGCACAGCTCTCAGGTGCCATCCTCCTCTTAGACGGTGATAACAGTGAGAAAGATTTATAGTCAGGAAACTTACTGAACCTTTTAAATCATTTTTCAACAATATAAAATGATTTCCTGCCCGTGGTAAACATTATAGATTGATTTAAAATAAGTTCATTTGTTAGCAGTCTTTGGTGAGAGTTAACCAATTCCTTAGACTTTGAGCTACCAAGAATGGTGTAGGTTTTGACACCACCTGTTCCACTAGTTTAGTTGCCATAAGGAAGACTAGTTTGCTAGAAACATGTCTTGCCTTCAGTTGTGGCAGTTCCTCTCCCCTAGTGGCCACAATGGCTAGAGCTGAGACAATCTGAAGCTAGGAGCCTGGAGCCTCTTCTGGGCTTCCCACACGGGTGCAGGGTCCCAAGGCTTTGATCCATCCTCAGCTGCTTTCCCAGGCCACAAACAGGGAGCTGGATGGGAAGTGGGGCAGCCAGGATTGGAAGCAGTGTCCATATGGGATCCCAGTGCGCTCAAAGCAAGGACTTTAGCTGCTAGGTCGTGACACCGGCCCAAAAGATTTATTTTCATTGCAAAGGCAGATTTGCTGAGAAAAGGAGAGGCAGAGAGGAGGATCTTCCATCCACTTCCCTGCAATAGCTTAAGCTGAACTGATCTGAAGCCAAAAGCTTCTTTGGTTGCCCCATGTGTGGGTGCAGGGTCCCAAGGCTCTGGAGCATCCTGTACTGCTTTCCCAGGTCACAAGAAAGGAGATTAAGTGGAGCAGCCAGGATATGAACCAGTGTCCACATAGGATGCCAGCACTTGAAGATGGAGGACTAGCTTCACTTACTACATATTTAATCATTAATTTATCCCCAACCATGTGAAGTTAATCCAAAGACAGGAGCAAAATATCTTTCTTTCTGTATCATCTGATGATAGCATGGCCATTTTATAAATTGTTTAGTTTCCTTCCTTGGTGTAGTTCATTTCCATGGGTCTCTTGTAGTCACAGGAAAGAAGCTGGTCTGAAGTTATGGAAAAGAAGAGCCTTTAATGCTTTTTTTTTTAAGATTTGTTCATTTTTATTGCAAAGTTAGATATACAAAGAGAGGAAGATCTTCTGTCCAAAGATTCACTCCCCAAGTGACTGCAACGACCAATGCTGCGCCGATTTGAAGCCAGGAGCCAGGAACTTCCTTCAGGTCTCCCATGTGGGTGCAGGGTCCCAAGGTGTTGGGCTGCCCTTGACTGCTTTCCCAGGCCACAAGCAGGGAGCTGGATGAGAAGTTAGTGTGGGAATTAGAACCGGTGTCCATATGTGATCCCGGCGCATTCAAGGCAAGAACTTTGGTTGCTAGGCCACGCCACCGGGCCCTGGGTAAGAAGGGCCTTTAATGCTTAATTAGAAGTAGATTTTTTGGGCCCGGCGCGGTGGCGCAAGTGATTAAAGGTCCTCGCCTTGCACGCCCGGGATCCCATATGGGCGCCGGTTCTAGTCCCGGCAGCCCCGCTTCCCTTCCAGCTCCCTGCCCGTGGCCTGGGAAAGCAGCCGAGGACAGCCCAAAGCTTTGGGACCTGCACCCGCGTGGGAGACCCAGAAGAGGCTCCTGGCTTCGGATCGGCATAGCATCGGCCCGTTGCGCTCACTTGGGGAGTGAATCATCGACGGAAGATCTTCCTCTCTGTCTCTCCTCTCTGTATATCCGCCTTTCCAATGAAAAAATAATAAAAATAAATCTTTAAAAAAAAAAAAAGAAGTAGATTTTTAAATCTCTTTTGTTTTCTTGTTTTAAAGATTTATATTTTTGAAAGAGTTATGCAGTGAGAGAAAGACATGAAGAAGTCTTCCATTCTCTGGTTCATTCTCTTAAGTGGCTGCAACAGCCGGGCCCAAGGCAGCAACCAGCAGCCAGGAGCTTTTGTGGGTTTCCCATATGGGTTCTTGGGCCCAAGCACTTTGGTCAATTTTCAGTTGCCTGGATGGGATGCTGGTGTTCAAGGTAGCTTAACGCGCAGCAGTACAACGGTGGTCCTAAGTTGTTGTTTTTTTTTTTGTAAGGTTTTATTTGTTTTCAAAGCAGTAAGAGTGCGGTTTTCCATCTCCTGATTCACTCCCAAGTGGATTCAATAGGGGGATGTAAGCCAGAGGCTTGGAATTGTATACGAGTGTCCCACTTGATCACTAGTGGAGCAGCCAGGACTCCCAAATATTCCCGTATAGTAATCTAGTACAGAAGGGGGTAGTAGCTTAGGGGCTAGTGCCCCGGCATAGTAAACTAAGCATCTGTGTGCGGTGCCAGCATCAGTTTGTGTCCCATCTATTTCACTTCCAATCCAGCTCCTTGCTCATGTGCCTTGGACAACAGCCTAAGTGTTTGGGACTGTGCATAAGAGACCCAGAAGAAGCTCCTGGCTTCTGGCTTCTGGCTTCAGACTTGCTCAGCTCTGGCCATTGTGGACATTTGGGGAGTGAATCAGTGACCAGAAGATCTCCTTCTCTGCAAATTTGCCTTTCAAATAAAAATAAATCATAAGAAAGGGAAAAAGAAAGTGGTGGTTTAACCTGTTGCTCTGCAATGTGTCATCCAGATTTTCAAAATTGAATTTGACATGTCGCAGTTTTTAATTCAACACAGGCTCCCTATCCAACAGTACCAGCTTGAAACACTGAACTTACTAGTAGATGTGTGTTTTTAGTCAAAACATGCAAAATCAAAGATGTTTTTCCTTTAAAAAATTTCATTTATTTGAGAGACAAAGAAAGGTTTTTCCATCTGTTGATTTAGTAGTTCCCAAATACTTTCAACGGTGAGGGGTTGGTGAGGAAAAAGGCACGAGCTTGCAACTTAATCTGTTTAACTCATAAGACTGAAGTGCTTGGAGGATGAATTGCTAACTTCTAGCATACTCAATAGCAGGATGCTGGAATTAGAAACATACCTTGGACTTGAATCAGACATTTTTATATTGTCAGGCATACCTAGCATTGTTTTAACCACTGTGTCAAATATCTTTTAAAATTGTTTAAATATTTATTTATATATTTAACTTGAAAGGTAAAAAGACAAAGAGCTGCTGGTTCACTCCCTGGCAAAAAGCCAGGGCTACTGTAGGCCAAAGCCAGGAGCCAGACACTCAATCCAGGTCTCCCATGTGGGTGGTAAGACCCAACTACCTGAACCATCACCTACTGTGCACTCCCAGGGTGCGCATTAGCTGTAAGGTGGAATATCTAGGACTCAAACCCATGCACTCTTGGGGTTGCGGGTTTTGCAAATGTTTCATTTAATTTTTTTTTTTCTGCAAGTGGCGTTCTAACTGTAATAGCAAACACCCACCTGAGCGCATGGATTTTCTTTTAAAAAAAAAAGTTTAGAAAGTAGTTTTAAATTGAATGCCAGAGAAACAGTGAGACAGATGGAATAAGATTTGTCATCTTCTGTTTCATTCCCTAATGCATACAGGAGCCAGGAATGGGGCAGGCAGGTGGTGGCAACCTGGAACTCAATTCATATCTCCCATGTGGGTGACAGAAACCCAAGTAATTGAACCATCCTTGGCTGCCTCCCAGGGTGCACATTAGTGGGAACCCAGACGGGAAACAGAGTGGCCAGGGTTTGAACAAGGCACTGTGACAGTACAGTTGGTGGCTTAGCTGCAGGATGTTAACCCTCTCCCCCACATGTATTATGCAGTCTTCCAGTCAGGACATAAAAATGTGTAAGTTTGAAGAATTTCCTTTAAACTCAGTTTGACTTTGTCTAGTTGAATCTTAACCACATAGTTTTGATTAAGCTTAAACTACATTGTTGAGTGACTTTCAGTTGCTTTCAGTGTAATTTGTTTTCTAACTCCCACTGGTCTTGAGTTTACACATTTTATGCTTTGGCAAGTAAAGAGTTTAACTCGGAGTTGCAGCATCTATGTGTCTCGCTGTACTGCGGGTCCTTGGGAGCTGCAGGTGGGCTGCTGGTTCATAGGGAGTGGGTCTCTGCTAACCCAGCCTGGACTAACTTTGTGCTCTTTACAGTTTCCCACAGTCAGATCACTCGCCTCTACAGCCGGTTCACCAGCCTGGACAAAGGAGAGAATGGGACTCTCAGGTAGGCAGCTCCTTTGTTTATTTTCTTTATAGAAAGTAGATATTCTGGCAGCGTCTGAATAGCTGCCTTTATCCCACGGCTGACTGAGAGGTATCCAGCAGGTGGAGAGCAGGGGCCATTCTGTACTGGCTTTTGAGCAGCAGTGAACGACAAGGGACTTAAATAAGCACAGCAGTGGCATTGAATTTGTCAGCAGGTATTTGTTGCTTTATACCAACTCCTCTCGCCTGAGGTGGCCGTTGTTCTGGTCCTAGGAATGTGCTTTTGGGATCTTAATACTTGCTCTCTCTTACATTTTCCCACAGTTCCCTTTTTCAAACATTGGGCTTTTGAAGTCCCAAAGCAATCCCAGGTGATTTTGTCTTCTCATGTCCCACGTTAACCCATGATTCTGCGGTAAATCACTGTGTATTTGTAAATTTTTAAAATTGTTTATTGTAATCTGAGAGGTCAAGAAATCAACAAAGGAAGGAGGGGCAGAGAGTAGGAGTGTCACCACTGGCTCACTCCCTAGATGCCTTCAGGAGGCTGGGCCTGAGGCTGCCGGCCAGGAACTTGGTCCTGACCTCCCGCAGGGGTGACCTGAACCAAGCCTATTTTTCAGATATCTCTTTCTCACTACTCCCACCGTAACTCGTGTTAGTCACCTTTTCCATATTGTGATTCTTTAGCTTGGTTGGCTGGCAGGTGATGAAGCTGCCTAGCTTTCTGGCATGTAGTAGGTTTGGACTTCTTGGAAGGGCCTGTAGCACAGGTGTGGGCTGTGGCAGCATAAGGGGGAAAGAATATCGCTGCTAAGCCTGTGAAGGTAATTCGCAGGCGGAGGAGCTGGAGAATGCTGGCGGATACGCAGGGCTGTGTGTTCTAGACAGAGATTTGTCAGCACTGGAGGCTGAGATTGACTAACATCATGTTGCATAACTGTTCAGTCAATGACTGTGGATACCTTCCACGAGCCAAAACCAGGCTGGATGCTTTTTCCCTTGTGTTGTATTGTGATAAAATGCATATAAACAACTGGAACTAGAGAGTGGTGATGATTGCATAACATTTTGAATGTTTATTGCCATCGAGTCCTTATTTCTCTTGCTTATAGGTTTAGGAATGGAACTATGGCTCAGATGGTAATTCTATTTTTAGAGAGGACTCACCAAACTGTTTTCCATATGGTTGGATCATTTCATGCTTTTTAAAAAAATACTTGTCTAATTTTTAAAGATATTGTTATTGGAAATTCAGATATACAGAGAGGAGGACAAATAGAGAGGAAGATCTTTTGTCCAATAATTTACTCCCAAAGCAGCCACAATGGCTGGAGCTGAGCTGTTCTGAAGCCAGGGGACTGAAGCTTCTTCCAGGTCTCCCAGTGCCAGGTGCATAGTCCCAAGGTGTTTGGCGGTCCTTGACTGCCTTCCCAGGCCACAAGTAGGGAGCTGGATGGGAAGCAGGGCCGCCGGGGTTAGAACCAGTGCACATATGGGATCCTGGCACGTGCAAGGCGAGGACTTTAGCCATTAGACTACTGCACTGGGCCCAACTCTACTTTTTAAAAAACATACCTATTTATTTAAAAATATTTAGAGAGCTTTCATTTTCCTGGTTTATTCCTCAGTGGGCTGTAATGACTGAGACTGGGCCAGGCTAATGCCAGCAACAGGAGTTTCATCTGGGTCTCCCATGTGGCTGGCACAAACACTTAGGCCATCTTCTGCTGATTTCCCACATCATTAACAGGGAGCTGAGGTGAAAGTGGAGCAGCCAGGACATGAACAGATGCCCATGTGTGATAGTGGTGTGCAGGCAGCAACTTAACCCACTATATCACAGTGCCAGCCCCAAACCTGTACTTTTATTTCGGTTGCTAGAGATTTATTTATTAATTTGAAAGGGTTTGCAGAGAGAGGGAGCAATTCCATCTGCTGGTTCATTCCCTAGGGAGGTAGTAATGGCCTCTGCTGAGCAGGCTAAAAATCAGCTTCTGGGAGCTTCATCTGGGTCTCCCATATGAGGAACAGCAGCTAAGCTCTTAGGCTGTCTTCTGCTGCTTTTTCCAGACCATTAGTAGGGTCCTGGATCAGAAGTGGACATGAATCAGTGCCCACATGGGAGACCGATGTTGCTGTAGGTGGCTTAACCAGCCCTATCATAATGCCAGCCCCTCAAATCTGTGCTTTTTTAAATGAATATTTTCATGTCATTTGGAAAATGAAAGAGACTGAGATCTTGCACCTGCTGGTTTCCTTCCAGAACTCTGGGTGTCCTGGAAGGTGGGGCTCCACATACTTGAATTTGAATTGCTGTTTCCTGGTCCCTTGTTAGCAGGAAGCAGGAACAGAGGAGCCAGCTCATGATTTTTTTAAATTGGAAATTAAAATTCATTGGAAAATAAATTCCTTTTATTGTAAAGGCAGATTTATAGAAAAGAAAGACAAAAAAAAAAAAAAAAGATTTTCCATTTGCTGCTTCACTCCCCAAATGTTTGCAACAGCCAGAGCTGAACTGATCCAAAGCCCCAGGAGCTTCTTCCGGGGTCTCCCAAATGAGTTCAGGGTTCCAAGGATTTGGGCCGTCCTCACTGCTTTCCCAGGCCCTAAATAAGGAACTGCATTGGAAGTAGAGCAGCTGGGACATGGACCAGTGCGCATATGGGATGCCAGCACTCACAGGTTAGTTGAGCTATTGCGCCAGCCCCGGGAGCCAGGACTTAAAACAGGCCACTCCAATATAGGATAGTCCATATATTGACTTAAGTTCATCAAATGCCTACCCTAAATTTTCTATTTTTAAATTTTAGTTGTGATACTTTAGTAATTTTAGTTCAGGTTTACATCTTCCTTTTAAATTCATATTTAGCCACTAGGTAAGGATACAGTTATATTAGTTCTGAGTTCCTTTCTTATTTACAGAAAGAGGGTGATCTGGAAGGCTAGTGTTGTGGTATAGTGGGTTAAGCCACCAAATGGGCTGCTGGCATCCCATATGAGTTTTGTTTCCTGTCTCAGCTGTTTGTTTCCTATTCAGCTCCTTGCTAATGGCCTGGGGGGGGGAAAAAAGAACAACAACAACAAAAACAAACCTGGAAGATGATCCAAGTGTTTGGGGCCCTGTCATCCATGTGGGAAACCCAGATGAAGGTCCTGGCTCCTGCTTTGGTGTGGCCCATCTCTGGCCATTGTAATCGTCTGTGGAATGAACCAACGGCTGGAAGATCTCTCTCTTTTTTTTTTTTAAGATTTATTTTATTTTTATTGGAAAGGCAGATATACAGAGAGAAGAGACAGAGAGGAAGATCTTCCATCCGATGAGTCACTCCCCAGGCGGCCGCGACGGCTGGAGCTGAGCCAATCTGAAGCCAGGAGCCTCTTCCGAGTCTCCCACACGGGTGCAGGGTCCCAAAGCTTTGGGCCGTCCTCGACTGCCTTCCAGGCCACAGGCAGGGAGCTGGATGGGAAGTGGAGCTGCTGGTATTAGAACTGGCGCCCATATGGGGTCCTGGGGATGCAAGGTGAGGACCTTAACCACTGCGCCATCGCACTGGGCCCTGGAAGATCTCTTTATGTTTCTCTCCACCGTGTAACTATGATTTTTGAAAATAAATAAATCTTTAAACACTAAAATAGTTGATTTATAAAGATATATGTTTTCAACCCTTTTCACTGCTGGAAAACAGTGAGGTTGCTGTTGTAAAATGAGCTGTTTCTCCACAAGTCAGTGTGCCATGTACTTAGACTGGGTGAACTTGCTCAATCCCTGGAACCCCAGTTTTCACTGTGCAAGACCAGGGAGCTAACTCTCGGGTCTGTGCTTGTTGAGCATGCGCAGTGCACTTGACACAGCTCTCAGTGTTGGTTGCTGTGAATTCGTGATGTGGAAGGAGTTAGTAGGAGGTGGTGGGGTAGTTTTTGATTTCACAGTCACCAAAAGGTGAGGTTCTTGTATTCACCTTTCTGAAATTCTTTCTTCTCTTTTTTTCTTTGCTTTTTTTTTTAAAGGTTTATTTATTTATTTATTTATTTTAGCATTGGAAAAGATCTTCCATTTTCTGATTCACTCCTCACCTGGCTGCAATGGCTTGAGCTGGGCCAGTCGAAAGCCAGGAACTAGGAGCTTTTTCTGGTCTCCCTTGTGACTGCAGGGGCTCAAGGAGTTGGGCCCAATCCACTGCTTTCGCTACGTTACCTTGTTACACCGTATAATATGCTGTATGATATGGTAAATGGCAGCACATTTCATGTATCATTTTGTTGGGCATGCCTGCTTTATGGCATTGTAGTCTGCGACCTCCTGAAGATGTCCTTCTCATCCTCTGGGTCTCTTCGTTTGTCCCATCTCCTCTTGTTCCCACTCTGGGGTTATCTGGAACTATACTACTCTGTAGGCTAGGATTACAGGTGCAGCTCTCTGCATCCTTTGTTGCCAAACTCAGTTTAAGACCCATCTTGTTCTTTCCAGAACCCTGCAGGGCTCAACGAAGTGCAAGTGGCCTCCAGGCTTCCGTCCACAGGCCCTAGCTTCTCAGGAAGGCGGTTCTGTGGCTTTTGGAAGGAGGACTTTTCCTTCTGCATGGTTTTTCACTTTGCTCTTCCACAGTGCACCATGTCTGGGGCCTGAAGGCAAATTCTGTGGAGACTGTGGTGTACTGTCCTTGGCATTCTGTGTTCTTTGGTAATCCGCCAGGCAACTTAACTGCTGTCCCACATGCCCGTGCCACCACAGCCTTCATGTAGTGGTGTGAATCGGAGATCTCCAGGAGGGGCTTATAAACAGAAGGGGCCCCATTGACTAGTTGATTTATGTACTCTCCCTTGATGAGGATCTTCTGTTCAGATTAGTATTTTGCAGGCTGTGAAGAACCATTTTAACCTTACAAAGCTTCCTTTCTTCAATGAGATGGATGTTTGCTGTTGAAATTGGGCTTTGTAGAAACACGGTTGAGTTTCTGGAAGAGGTCACGGAATGATCCTTTGTAGGTCAGTTAAACATCTGAGGACAAAGGTGTC